TGGAATACTACACAACACTGAATAATGATGCATCTGTAAAACACCTCATGACATGGATGAGCCTGGAGCACATTACGCTGAGTGAAATTAGCCAGTCACAAAACAACAAATATTGTTTGAGACCAATGTTGTAAAACATTAAGAAAAGGTTTTCTTGATAAAAGAAACAATCTATGACGATTTGGGAGGTGAATGAGGGAGGGAAAATTACTCATGGGCTAGAGGGTAGACACATGGTAGCATGGGTGCCAGGGCAGGCAATATACACTAAGACTAAGGCTAGAAGTAAAAAGAAGGTAGTGAGAGAAACAGGGAGATGTGCAATGCTGAAATGAATAGAGGTACAAACGCTTAACTGTTGGTACACAGAAAGGACTGCAACTATGTAATGAAGCAAAGTATATGATTTGTTGAATGTAAGACTGATGATCTGCTCTGTAAACCTTCACACTCAATTCACAAAATGTTTAAATACATTTTAAAACATTTAAGTAGAACCAGTCAAATGTCAAAATACAGAAGAGGATAAAAAGGTTAAAATCTGGTATGGGGTTCAAGAAAGGATCTATGTAAGAAGAGCGGGCATATGCACAAGAACACCCACATTTGCAGATAATACCCACTTGACTTGGCTTCAATGACTAGATGATCAGAGCTCAACTAGAAGAAGAAAGAAGAGGAAAAAGAGTAAACTGATACAATTTGATGAACTTGACCTACACCTATGAATACAGTAGATCAAAAGAAGGAACAAATTTTTACAGCAAGGATCATTCCCACCCCCTCCATACACAGAGTAGACAGGAATGGGCAACTTGGACATTGGCTACTCAAAATGGTGGGCTACAAAGGCAAGAAGTGACTGGCTTACAAGTTTTCAAGAGGGAACCTAGATCCAAAGGGCGTGAAGGAAGGTAGAATCTCCACTGAGTAGTATCCAATCTGTATAGGCGGGGCTGATGAAATGTGGATGGATCTCTTGTGATACAATAGTGAATAACTGTTATCAGGACTGATTGTGAGGGTTAGAAATGTAAAAGTAGACATTTGTAGCAAAGAGGGGAGTGATTAACTTTGCAGTCTAGGAGGGGAGTTCCCTGGGACCATCAAGGGAGAAGAGTGGAGAGCAGGACCCTAGCCAGAGAAGCAGTGATGCCTGAGATGGAGGCAGAGACGATGATGTGGAGAGATGGAGCAGTTGGGGACTTTAGACCCAGAGAGGGAGAGGGGCTGTGTGCTAATGACCAGGGGGCAGGCTTATAGTGTATATATACCCTTTGGATGGTTGATGACGCATGGAGGGGAATTTAACCATGGCAATGAAACAATGAACGATACAATGAATGTAAAACTAATATTCTCCCATGTAAACTATCACATAATTCACAATAAACATTAAAAAAAAAAAAAAAAAAGGAAAGGATTTAAGGATCTATGGTAGGATGAATTATATCTAGGGCATGTTGCCTCAGAAGCACACACATGCAAGCAAACACATATATAATATGGTGGTGGTGGTAGCAGTTTGCCATGGAATCGGGTCCAATTCACAGTGACCCTGTATAGGGTTTTCTTAGGCTATAAATCTTTACAGGAGCAGGAAGTTCGTTCTTCTTCCTGAGGAACTGACCTTGTGGTTAGCAACCTAACTTGTAACCCACTATTCTACCAGAGCTCCCACACCCAGTATGTTGTTATTGTTGTTGATAAGTGCCGTTGAGTCGGTTTGGACCCATAGCGGCCCTGTATAGGGTTTCCGAGGAGCGGCTGGTGAGCTTGAACCACCGACCTTGCAGTTCAAATACTTTACAGTCCAGTGCATAATCCACAGTGCCACACCAGGACTCCATACTCAATATTGTTGTTGTTAAGTGCCATCGAGTCGGTTCTGACCCATTGTGACCCTGTATAGGGTTTCTGAGGAGTAGCTGGTGAGCTTGAACCACCGACCTTGCGGTTCAAATGGCTTTGCAGTCTGGTGCATTAACCCACAGCGTCACACCAGGGTTGACTCCAAGAACCATATTCACCAAGATGTTCACGTTTTTCTTTTGTAGTATGTCTTGATGGTAGCACTCCAGGTGTTTTTCATATTCTTTTTTAAGTTTTTATTTCTTTTTCTAATTGTAATAAGAAATACAACCTATGTACCAAAGAAAAATGTGAACATTTTGGTGAATACGGTTCTTGGAGTCAGCCCTGGTGTGGCACTGTGGGTCACGCATCAGACTGCAAAGCCATTTGAACTGAAAGGTCGGAGGTTCAAGCTCACCAGCTGCTCCTCGGAAACCCTATAAAGGGTCACAATGGGTTGGAACCAAATCCACGGCACATAAACAGCACCACCACAATTTTAGAATATACCTTTTCCTATTTAAATGGCTAGAATCTTATTTACAAAATGTTTTTCTATTGTTAGACACTTTGTTTCAAAATTCTCATGTGGTCTTATAAAAAATATTTTTAGACATACCTTAATTTCCACTTAAGATTAACTCCTGAAAATGGAAATGATGGGTGATAAAGATATAAATTTATGCCTTTGGATTGTTGTTGTCAATTGGCGCTGAGTCAGTTCCAACTCATAGTAATCATGTATAGAGTTTCCAAGGAGCAGCTGATGGGTTTGAATCACTGACCTTCCAGTTAGCAGTCCAGTGCTTATACTATAGCTCCACACCAAGTGCTAAATTAGGCTCAAAGAATATTTAGAAACCAGAGACGGAAAACAGTTGGAGACATTTCAGGTAAGTGGAAATGTAGCACATATTTGGGGACTAACAAGTATTAGCAATATGGGTTAGTTAGATTTCAAGATCTATAAAAGGTAGTTCAGCACCACATGGTGAACAGATCACAACCTGTATTACCAGAAAGCACTCCTTGGCTGGCTCTGCATGTGAAGAACACTAACTAAAAAAGCAAAAGTTGCCAATTTTTATAGCAACAAACTTAATACTTCCTAACATCCTCCAAGTTAATCAGTTTTCCACAGTATTTTAAACATTGAATTGTCCCTTGTCAGATTGGTTAGCTCAGAATTTAATCATGTGTTCACAGAACCAATGCAAAGCCAATTTTTTTCTACTGGCATCTCATAAAGTATTTTCAGAAGTACAGATCCTTAATTTTTTGATATAGCTTAATTGTTAGTGAAGATGTCTATGTTCTTAGTATTTTTAATCTGATCCTGTTCATTTTCTTCACCATTTTCAATGTGGCCTGAATTCATAATTAAAATCCATGGAACCTGGCTAAATGGAAGACCACTGAGAATCTTCCTCTACTTGGACTGATTATTCAGGCCTGAAACTCTCCTTTTTGGTAAAGTTACAAACTGCAAGATTCTCCCTGGCTTGCAACATCAACGATTTGGTTATGAAACACAAGTTCTGCTATTTAAGCTCCATTCAGCAAATTAAGTCTGTCAAAGGACTACCTGATAGCCAGAAGACAGTCCTGGAAGCATTTCAGTAACTTCACACAAGAAGGTAATGGTGTGTGCTGCATACCACTACTAAGTAGTCATGTAAGAATATTGAAAATCACTTGCCTTCATTTGAGAAACCACGGGAATAGTAACCAAATTTTTCACTTTTCCTTTTCTGCAGTTATTTTAGTGTAACATTCACATTTTATGTTTCAAATAGCTACTGATTTAAGTTTTTTAAAAAATCAACATGGAAAAGTTTTAAGTAAAACAAACAACACATACCTACAACTGCTAGATTGACTCATGGCAGCCCCATGTACGTCAGAGTGGAGGAGCTGAGTTCTCAATGGCTCATTTTTCAGAAGTAGATTGCCAGGTCTTTCCTCCAGGGTGCCTCTGCATACACTTGAGCTCCAACCTTTCGGTTATCTGTCAAGTGCATTAACTACATGCACCACCCAAGGACCCATATATAGCATTTTTTGTTTGTTAAGTGCTGTTGAGTAGGTTCTGATACAGTGACCCTGTGTAAGGTTTCCAAGGCTGTAAATCTTTGAGAGAGCAGAAAGCCTCATATTTCTCCCAAGGAAAAGCTGGAGGGCTCAAACTGCCAACTGTGGTTAGGAGTCCAGTGCTTAACCTACAGAGCCACAGAGCTCCCTATATAAAACAACATAATTTGTTTGATAAAACTGCAAAGAAATCTTTCTGGCTGTGCTTCTTACAAAACCAATTTGTCCGTTCTGGAAGTCCCATGGTATATTCAAATATTCTTCACTACCACAGTTCAAAGACATCAATTCTTCAGTCTTCCTTACTCATTTCCAGCTTTGGCATGCATATGAGATAGAGAATACCATGGCTTGGGTCAATTGCACCTTTTGTAGCAGATCTGCCTAATATAATACGTTGTCTGATTTCCTGATTTCTGTTTCCACAAGAGCTGACTGTGGATCCAAGTAAAATTAAATACTTGATAGCTTCAATACATTCTCCATTTATCATGATGCTACTTATCGATCTAGTTATGAGAATTTTTTGCTTTCTTTTTGTTAAGATATAATCCATTATTGAAGGATATGTAGTCTCTGATCTTCATTAGTGTGTCAAGTTCTCTTCACTTTCAGCAAGCCAGATTGTATCATTTATATATTTCAGGTTATAAACAAGTCTTCTCCCAATTCTGAAGCTGTGTTCTTCAGTTCAGCTTCTTGGATTATTTGCTCAGCATACAGAGTTAATAAGTGCAGTGAAAGGATACAATCCTGATGCACACCTTTTCTGATTTTGACTATGTAATGTCTCCCTATTCTTTTCAAACAACTGCCTCTTCACTATGTAGAGGCTCTAAATAAGCACAATTAAAGCTTCTGGACTTCTCTTTCTTATAATGTTATCTATACACTTTTATGATTCAACAGTTGCGTGCCTTTGCAGTCAATAAAACACAGAAATAATACTAGCACACTTTTAGAAATATAATCCTAGCGTTCTTGAATATTAAACCATTGACCACCTAAGTAAGGTTGCACACTCCCACTTAATTACTACTACTAATGGTACCTACCCTGTGTCTCCCAATCCATGAAGGAAAATAACCTATAAGAAAAGAAAAATTAAAAATGAGCAATGTATACATACCTATATTCCACATTGTAGCTTTGGGTAACATGTACAAGTATGACAGAATGAAGACTTTTGTAATCTCCAAAATTACAGACTATTTCAGCAAGTTAATTAACCTCTATAGACCACACATAACACAAAAAACATTTACATCATGCCCATTCCAAAAGGACAGAGTAGAACTGTCTCCAAACAGTTTCCAAGGCTGTAATCTTCACGGACTCCTGGTGCTGTAGGTTAATGCGCTGGACTGCAAGGTCCATTTGAACCAAAAGGCTGGCGGTTTCAGCTCACAAGCTGCTCACTGGAAACCCTATACAGGGTTGCTGTAAGTTGGAACCAACTCGAGGGCACTAACAACAATGATCTTCACCAAAGTAGAGTGCCACATCTCCCCCCCTGCCCAACCCAGGAGAGGGCAGGGAGATTGCATGGGGACCTTTCCATTAGCATGCAAACATTTTACCAGCGCCACCAGGGCTACATTGTTTTGTTTAAGTGTTGTCCAGGTGGCTGTGACTTATAGAGACCCTGTATAGGGTTTCCTCAGAGTAGCTGGTATGCCTGAACCACCAACCTTGTGGTTAACAATCCAGTGCTGAGCCTACAGCCATCTCACCAGGACTCCCCAAGAGCTATTTGTTATTGCTAAAGTGCCAGCAGTAAGTTCTGACTCGGATCCTGTTTCTGAGGAGCAGCTGGTGGGTTTGAACTGCCAACCTTTTGGTTGGCATTCAAGTGCTGATCCCACAGCACCACACCATGAGTCCGGTATTTGTAGTGTGTTGTTAAATGCTGTAAAAAGTTGATTCTGATTCATAGCAACTCTGTATAGGGTTTCCAAGGAGCAGCTAGTGGGTTTGAACGACTGATCATATGGTTCGCAGTCCAGTGCTGATCCTACAACACCACACCAGTTCAGTATGTTGGTATTGTTAAGTGCCATCGAGTCAAATCTGACCCATAGCGGACCCTATGAAGGGTTTCCGAGGAGCAGCTGGTAAGGTTGAACTGCTGACCTTGCAATTCAAGTGGCTTTGCAGTCTGGCGCATTTACTCACGGCGCCATACCAGGGCTCCAGTCCAGTACAAAGATCTTTAAATGGCAAAAATACTCCCTATGGTTTACTTCTTTCCCTGTAGTGTCTAGTAGTGGTGGTGGTGGTTTTGTGCCATGGAGTAGGTTCTGACTTATGGTGACCCTGTACAGGCTGTGAATCTATACGAGATCAGAAAGCCTCATCTTTCTTCCGGAACACCTGGCAGATGATTCGAACTACTGACCTTGCGTTAGCAGACCAGTTCAAAACCCACTATGCTGTGGTGTCTACGATTGATTAATTTGGGGGCTTTAAGAATTAAAAGGTCCCAGTTAGTAACGCACAGTATCAAATTCAAAGGAAAGAAAATTCTCTCCCAAATGAAACCAAGTACTAAGTCTCCTGTATAATTTTTCCAACAGAACAAGGCGCCTCCCAGGTTACGTTAAGTTTGAGATTCTTATACAAAAGTTCCCCCGAAAACAATACCTTCGATCTCACAGTACACTAAATCTCCGAACTTCTTTAATTTAGGGCAAGAGGATAAGAAAATAATGCGCTCCTACGGGCGTTGTTGTTAGGCGCCATTGAGTCGGTACCGACTCATAGCGATCCTCTGTACAACCGAACACTGGCCAGTACTGAGCCAACTAGACGTCCCTAATGTACTCACAAGCACCGCGAGTGCGGTCATCCCCCGCCCCCGCTTCCTGCCCTTTCTGGCTGCGGCAGGGGTTCCGAGGGCACTCTAGCTCCGCAGCGCAGTGGCACTGATTCTACCGGTTCGGGGCGACCTAGCGCTGCTCCACACAGGGCAGGCCCGGGCCTCCGCCGACCCCCTCCCACCGGGCAGGAGGAGCCTTCCACCCTAGGACCGTCACCGGCTGAATGCGACCCTACGCGAGCGGCAGTCCCACGAGGCCAAGTGGGACCAAGCTTCCGCGGCCACTCACCGCGGCAGATGCCTTCCGGGCGGCGGGCACGATGGCGGGGAGTGGGGCAGACATGTTATTGCCGCACATACACCGGCTCGAAGACCTCGTCGGAAGCGGAAGGGAGAACCGCGCCAGGCCGCGGCCGAGGGCGTTGGAGCGCCAAGTCCCGGCCCGCCCCGCCGGGCGCGCTCTCAGGCGCGTGCGCCAATCCGGCGAAGCGCTACCCGCAGCCGGCCCGCGCGCCCTTACCCCGCCTCCGCCCTGCTCTCTTTGTGCACGTCACAATGTCCTAGATGTGCCCTCAGCCCGGATTGGCTGAGGTGGGTGCGTGGCCTCATCTGACCTAACCTTCGCTAGGTGCAATCACGGCCTGGTGCGTGCTTGGTCAGAAGTCTTGGAGTGGCACTCCCAGTTTGCACGCTACCGTGCTACTGTCTTTGTCTCTGTAACATCTGGAAGGACGAAAATCACTTATTAAATTTTTACTTGGGCTGCACTAGTTGGAATTCCCTTAAGGGCAACTGGTAAAAGTGTGTAGGTTTAGGTCCACTCCCTTCCTTCTTTAAAGATGGCTAGGGAAATGTTCAACTGTCACCTAGAATCAACAGCTTCTTTAAACTGATGGACATTACTCAATGACGGGCGGACGTTGACTACTTCTGCTATAGACTGTAGCCTGGAACTTGATTGCCCCTTTTCTGAGAGGGTTGCTTAACAGCCTAAAATGTCATTGTTAGTGCCGTTAAGTCTGTTCCGACCCATAGCGACCCTGATAGGATTTCTGAGAAGTGTCTTGTGATTCAAACTGACTTTGCAGTCCAGTGTACCAACCCGCAGCACCACACCAGGACTGTAAATGTAGTTTAGTCAATAATTGCATATCTGCTTCCATGGTAAGATCTGAGCAGGGAGAAGAAATACAAACACTTAAAGCCAAAAACCCTTTAGAAGTTTACGATTCAGCAAGAAACTTAAAGGATATATTCAATCTTTAGGGAATACTGTGTGAGGTTGAGTAGGAAGAGAGAGGTTGGTGACCAAAAGAATTCCAAAACAACACATTAATTTCACTTTTATTAACGTGAGAACAAGAACAAAGGAATTTGGAGTCTTGCTATTACTAGTGATGCTGTGGTTAGAGTAGGGTTGCTAACCAAGAGATCAGTGGTTCGAACCTACCAGCTACTTTTGGCAAAAGATGAAGCTGCCTGGTACTGTAAAGATTTACACAAAAACCCTAAAGGGGATCACTATAAGTCAGAATGACTGGACCACAGTGGGGTTTTGTTTGTTTGTATAGAGTTTGAGCAGCAAGAATTTTGTGGACTCTCAACAAATATTAAATTTTGTCTAAGAAAAAAGACTACAATTCTATTTCAAATAAGTTTTAATGGAAGAAAGACGTTGTGAGGGTTAGGCGATTCCTGGTGAGCTTGGCAATTTTCCCTGGCCCCTACTAGATATTTTCAAATGTTAAAGCTGAAAACCACAAGCTTATGAGTACTCTTGGGATATTTTCTGATTGAATAACATGTGCAAAAGTTGCAGGTGATAGGATCTTGATTGACTATATTTTGCAGGAGTTAGTTGCCTTTGTATTCCAGAACACTTAATTGTGCTCATGAGGAATCTGTACATAGACCAAGAGACAGTTGTTGGAACAGAACAAAGTTGCACTGAATGGCTTAGAATTAGGAATAGGGTGCACAAGGGTTGTATTCTTTCATCATACTTAGTCAATCTGAATGCTGAACAAATTATCTGAGAAACTAGATTATATGAAGAAGAATGTGGCATCAGGATTACAGGAAAAGTCATTAACAATCTACGATATGCAGATGATATAACTTTGCTTGCTGAAATGAAGAGGACTTACAATACTTACTGATGAAGATCAAAGATTACAGCCTTCAGTATGGGTTGCACCTCAATGGAAATAAAACAAAAATCCTCACCACTGGACAAATAAATGACATCAAGATAAATGGAGAAAAGATTGAAGTTGTCAAAGACCTCATTTTGCTCGGATCAACCATCACTCATAGAAGCAGCAGTCAAGCATTTGCATTAGGCAAATCTGCACAAGATCTCTTTAAAGTCTTGAAGAGCAAAGATGTCAGTTTGAGGACTAAGGTGCGCCTGACCCAAGCCATGGTATTTTCAATAGCCTCATATTCATGTGCATTTGAGTTGTTGTGTTGGAGAATATTGAGGGTACCTTTGACTGCCAAAAGTATAAACAAATCTAGGTTTGGAAGAAGTACAGCCCCCAATGCACCCTGGAAGCCAAGATGACCAAACTTCGTCTCTCATACTTTGGACATATTGTTAGGAAGGAATAGTCCCTGGAGAAAAACATCATGCTTGGTAAAGTGGAGTGTCAGCAAAAAAGAGGAAGACACCCCACCCCCAATAAGATGGACTGGCAAAGTGGCAGCAGCAATACACTCAAGCATAGCAATGACTGTGAGGTTGGCATAGGTTCAAGCAGTATTTTCATTCTGTTGTGCATTAGATCGCTATCAGTCGGTACCGACTTGATGGCACCTAACAACAACAAGCAGCTGCCTTTGTAAAAGGGGGCTTTAGGTAAGTGGCAGCATCAATGGGCTCAAGTGGGGCAACAATAGTGAGGTTGGCCCAGGATCGTGCTGTGTTTCATTCTGCTGTGCATAAGGTCTCTATGAGTTGGCACCAACTCAATGACACCTAACAACAAGAACAAGGTAACAAGATGTAGCTAAGACAAGTTTAAAATTAAAAATATTTTCCAAGTACAAGGCTTATACATACATAAAACAATGGAAAGAGCTTTTAATGAGGGATTTGTAAACGATATGGCTTAACGACAAAATTTACATGTTTAACAATATGTCTAAACACCATAAATTATGTCTACCATCAGCTATTCTAATGACGAAATTGAGCTTAAATAGAGCAAGACTGGGAGTTCCCTGTCAAGAACTGCTTATCTCTTAACTGTTCCTTCCTGATAATAGCCAAATATTAACCAAAGACAGAGATGACAAAAACAAAAAAGCCATAAGGGGCTTTTAACAAAACTGAATCATGGATTTCAGTTAGGAGTTTCTTAGTCACGTTAAATGTTTGTTTTAAAAATCTTCTTCCTCAAACATTATACTAATTTATAGAAATGATAATAATGTAACTCACATTTCATGTTTTAGTATATATTTGAGGGGGCTTCAGAGTTTGTGGAGAAATGGAATTGAAAGATAATGGGAATTTTCCATGAACTTTCTAAAACTCCTTTGTATATTCAGGCTTTTTACATCATTTTGCTTGTAATGTTGATACAGAAAACAGAACTATCTTTAGCTCTTACTATGAACATAATGTGTTCCAACTCACTATTATGTAAAATTTTTTATGAAAAAAATCCATTATCTTTCAATTCCATTTTTCCATGAGCTTTTGGAAGCTTCCTCATAGAGTTTCAGGGGCCAATAATCTGTTGTATCCTTTAACTTCCATTAAGGGGAATTAAGAAGTTTTTGACCCATCTCTATTCAGTGCAGTTAATTACTGAATATGAACCCTTCTAGCCATATTCCTCCATTTTGTGATGTAAGTCCTAGCCTCTATGCCTGTGGTGATGGTCAGATTTTGGAGTGAGTTATCTGTTACGTTAATGAGGTGGGAATAAAGATTACATTAGGATTAAGGATGTCTTCACTTTACTAGAGGGTGTGACTCAATCTATCCCCCACAGTTTCCTTCTGGGTGTGGTTTGCATCAAATCTGTCAAGACTGCTTTGGCAAAATTTGCTCTCTTGTTCTGGAGCCTGCATCTAGTTCGTCTGCTTCTTGAAATTTGTGGACCATTGCCCGATCTGATTTATCAACTTCTGCAGCCGAGTGCACCAACAGCCTGTAACAGACTGTAGTCTGACCTGCCTATTTGGGTTCCTTCATCCTTGCAACTACATGGGTGAGGAGAATCTTCCAGATTGACATAGGAACTACAGTTTTCTGACTTGGCAAGGTTCCACAATTGCATGAGACATTTCCTTGACAGCTTGTGAGTTCTATGAGACATTGCAGCAAATTGCAGAACCTGGGACATGAGAGAGGGGAAGAGTGGTAGTTGAGGTCAAGGATTATGGAGTGGTATAACATCTTAGAAAAGTCGGACATTTGGGATATCTTTAACTTCCACCTCATCTAGACCAATTTCATGCTGACCCTCCTAAAATAAATTATTTTTACATCAGTCAAAAGGTTTTCAAAGTGGTTACACTGATACGATCAATACACTCAAAATAATGTTCCCTTTGCCAGCATATACAGTAAAATTGGAATTATACAGAAAAGATTAGCATGGCCCTTGTACAAGGATGCATACAAATTCTTGAAGCATTCCATAGTTTTTGGCAGAAACAAGACAGAGTGGCTCAAACAAACAACCAAGAGGCAGAGCTAGAAGATGCTTTTGTGGAAGAAGAGGCACTTGAATTACCTGAAAAAGAATTTTGGAGACTGTATTAAGGTACATTCAAATATGTCACAGAAAAGGTTGAGGAAAACAAGGAAGAAATCATTAAAGAGCTACAGGAACAATCAAACAAAATAGAAACAGCATTGGAGATAATACAATACACACAAAATAACTTGGAAATTAACCAAAAAGTTGCTGCAATAACTTCCTTCTAGCCTAAGTGCAGAAGTTAGTAAGGTTTAACCCTTAGGGTATAATCAAAACTATCATTGTTGTTAAGTGCCACTGAGATGGTTCTGACTGATAGTGAGCCTGTATAGGGTTCCCAAGTAGCAACTGGTAGGTTTGGACCGCCTTGTGGTTAGTAGTCTAGTGCTGATCTTTACAGTGCCACATCAAGAATTCAACATGATAATTAGACATGCTAATATTATAATGAATTATGTGATGCTTCACAATTTGCCTCCATAGTATGATAAAATACCATGAGTATATGTACGTGTATGATCTTGCTATACTTCTTTTTTCTCCTAATGCATACAAACCTGGCCTGCTTGTTCTGGAGTGGAGGCAGAATCTGTGAACTGTGCTCCTTTCTGTCCCCAATTGTGCACATGATGAAATAAAATCTTCTCTTTACTCCTTATGCTGGTGT